ATTGATGAGAATGGTTGATGGGTTTGCATCTATCTGTACACATGATGATCACATGGATGGATGGATGGCCGGTAAGTGAGAAGTCCGACAGCACACACGTGTTCGCGCCTCTGGAAAAATATCCATATATTTTTTTTTATGCAGACATTACAAATCCTGGAATCACATCGGGAAGCTCTCCGTGCAGTGTTTTTGGTTATTCTGCCACAACTCGCGCTGTAGCGCTGATCCCAATTAGTGCACATCATCTATGGATTGCCTACATGTAAAGACACACACACACCAATTTTCGTGAGATTTGGTCCACCCTACGTGGGTAACCAAAAGGCATCTAGGTGCGGTGCGTGCTTCCATGGCTTGGATCACCATATATTTTTGGAGGTAGGCTCATGATCGTTCTGGGGGCCTCTCTGCTGACTACTGGAGTTTAGACTTGAATTTAGGCCGACTTTTGCAGGCCCACTGCCATCGCTGTAGTGCAGATCCCAGTTAGCTCACATCATACATTCATTCTATGGTCTTTCATCTCTACTATGGTACGGAGTTTTGGCCGAATTGGGACTCTGAAGCGGGTAACCAACTTGGATGAAAGTTGTTTTTCAGAGCTGAAAAGGTTGCGTGCAGCAGCAGGAAGGCAGCTTCAACTCAGATGTGATCGCGAGACATTTCTCCGGCTCAAAGCAAAATCAAAGGGTAAAACCAGCTTTCTTTCCGATGGAGGGTATGACTTGCTTGAGGCGCCCGCCTGTTTTGGTGAAACGACAAGGTCTGTGTACGGAGCACGAGGTGGTGAAAGAACTGGGCTCAGCCATGTCCAATATGGGGAGGGGATGAAATAAAATTGACCCCGCTGAAACCGGCGGCGTGATTTCTTGTCTGTACTTTTTTTTCCAATTCCTATAGGCACGAACACGTGTGAGCAGTTAGTTTTGCATCAAGTCCAATAAATGGGCTTTCAGGCAAGGGTACACGTGAAAAAAATCCAAGACACATAGGCCTATACTTTGAAGTACAAATCGAAAATCGGGGTCATTTGGGGGGGGGGGGGGGAAATTTGGGGGGGGGGGCGGAAACTTGATTCTCAATGTCCCAGGT